TTTTTTTTTGTGTGTGTGTACAACCAAAAGCTTGTGTTTTTGTGATTTGTGATTATGGCACATCCTACTGCTGACGAAGCCCAAATCTTAAGTGCGTTAGAATCGGTACTTGGTCAGAGAAGTTTTAGAATGACCTTACCGCCCTTTAATTACACCGATCCAGAACTGTGGTTCTCACAAGTAGAGTTAGGTTTCGCGAGTGCCGGTATTTCATCAAACATAAAAAAGTTCGAGATAGTGGCCCAAAGCCTCGAATCGCGAGTGGCGTCAGAGGTTCGCGATTTAGTGGTAGCGGCTCCAAGCAACGACTCCTACACATCATTGAAAACGGAGTTAATTAAACGGCTTAGCGCGTCTCAGGAAGAGAAAACTCGCCGCTTCTTAGAGAACGAGGAGTTGGGTGACCGGAAACCATCTCAATTTTTGCGGCACCTAAAAAGTCTCGCGGGTTCAACAGTCCCCGACAACATCATTCGCGCCATCTGGTTCAATCGACTACCGAACAACATACAGCCTATCCTTGCAGCCCAAAACAACAGTTCCTTGGAGGACGTGGCCGACCTAGCGGATAAGGTAATGAATTTATCCGTAGGGAAGCCAACAATCGCAGCAGCAGCAACACCTTCAGCAAGTGCACCATCTTCGATAGCCGCCATGCTAGCAGAACAAATACAGCAAATGCGGATAGAAATGAGTGCTGCATTACAACAAGAAATCGCAAATTTTCGGGCCGAGATTTCGGAACTTAGAACCAACCAGCTTCAAGCAGGAAACCCTCCACGTGCGCGCGAACGATCATATTCTCGCGGACGCTCTTCTCTTCGCGGTCGCTCGAAATCTCGCGGACGATACGCCGGTGAAGGTATCTGTTGGTACCACGAACAGTACGGGGCAAGTGCAAGAAAGTGTACGCGACCGTGCAAATTCGCGGGTTCGGAAAACTACGCGGCCAGTCGTTAATGGCGGCAGACGACCCAAGGCCTACAGATTCCCGCCGCATCCTAGTTCCGGACCGCAACAGCAATACACTATTTCTGGTAGACACTGGTGCTGACTTATGCGTTTTTCCCCGGTCCTACCTCCCACAGCCACGAGAAAGGAGTACCTACCAACTTTCCGCGGCTAATGGAACCCCAATCACGACGTACGGCACGACGACTAGGACACTAAATCTGGGACTTCGGAGGGATTTCACGTGGAGATTCGTTGTCGCAGATGTCAGCAGGCCCATCCTGGGAATCGATTTTCTCGCTCACTTCGACCTGCTAGTCGACGCGAAAAATCGCAGGCTCATCGACGGTACGACGAAAATTTCAACACCAGGTCAACCAACCAATTGCGACGTACCGACCGTTAAAATCATCTGCGGATCATCGCCCTACCTGGATCTTCTCGCGAAGTTCCCGGATGTCGTACGCCCAGACGGAATCGTCAAGGTCAAACACCGCACTCAGCACCATATAAAGACGATACCAGGACCACCCGTGGCGCACAAACCCCGAAGGTTGGCCCCAGATCGCCTGAAGGTTGCGAAAAGGGAGTTCGACGCTATGCTGAAGTTGGGAACCATCCGACCATCCCAAAGCTGTTGGTCATCCCCACTCCACATGGTCCCGAAGGAAGACAACGAGTGGCGTCCATGCGGCGACTACCGAGGACTCAACGCGCGGACTGTACCTGACAGATATCCAGTCCGTCATATACATGATTTTTCGCAATCCTTGGCCGGAAAAACCATGTTTTCCACGATTGACTTGGTTAAAGCTTACCATCAGATCCCGGTAGCGCCTGAAGATATCTCCAAGACCGCCATTGCCACGCCCTTTGGACTCTTTGAATTCCCCTTTATGTCGTTCGGTTTACGAAACGCGGCGCAGACATTCCAGCGCTTCATTGACGAAGTACTGCGTGGTCTGGATTTCTGCTACGCGTATATCGACGACATATTGGTGGCATCAACTACGGCAGAGGAACATTTAGTACACCTGGAAACCTTATTTCGTCGCCTTCAGGACTATGGTGTCGTCATTAATCCGGCCAAATGCAAGTTCGGACAATCCGAGGTAAAATTCCTGGGATACCTCGTGAACAGCAAAGGAACGGCACCGCTACCAGAAAGAACCGATGCTATTACATCCCTCCCACGACCAACCACCGTCAAGGAACTCCGTCAATTCTTGGGAATGGTGAATTTTTACCGAAGATTTATCCCCAAGGCTGCAAGCCTCCAAGCGTCCCTTAACGAACTCCTGAAGGGCGACGTCAAAGGCAAGGCGCCGCTCACATGGACGACAGAGGCGATCGCATCGTTCGACGCAACCAAGACCGGTTTGGCAACAGCGACGCTTCTGGCACATCCGGTCCCCGAAGCACAATTGGCAATTTTCTGCGACGCGTCAAATTCCGCTATTGGTGCGGTATTGCAGCAGTTTGTTGACGGAGCCTGGCAGCCGTTATCATTTTTCTCCAGGAAGCTGAAATCGGCAGAAAAGAAGTACGCTGCATATGACAGGGAACTCCTCGCTATCTACGACGCCGTTAAACAGTTCCGACACATGGTAGAGGCAAGGACATTTACCATTTATACAGACCACAAGCCGATCATATACGCATTCGGAAAGAAGGATGGCGTATGCAGTCCACGGCAATTCCGGTACCTAGATTTTATCGGACAGTTCTCCACGGATATTCGTCACCTACCGGGAGAGAACAACGTCGTTGCAGACGCCCTGTCACGAGTCGAAGAGGTCACCGTCGCGGTTGACCTGGAGGAGTTGGCGGCAGCACAGCAAACAGATGAAGAATTAGCATCGTTAGAGAGGAATGAAAACTCTAATCTGCAACTTAAACTTATCAAAATTCCAGGAACGAACTTTTCATTGGTCTGCGACGTTTCGACCTCAATAGCGCGCCCCTTCATTCCCTTCAAATTTCGCAGAGCAGTGTTTGAGAAAATCCACAGTTTGTCGCATCCGGGAGCCAACGCATCGGCCAAACTGGTTTCCGCCCGCTACGTCTGGCCATTCATCAAGAAAGACTGTCGGGAAATGGCCAAAAACTGCCTGCAATGTCAAAAATCCAAGGTGACTCGACATGTTTCAACGGTACCAGGGACCTTCGCACCACCGTCTAGCCGATTCGAACATGTTCATGTCGACATCGTAGTGATGCCCTACTGCGACGGCTACCGATATCTGCTTACGTGTGTCGATCGATTCTCCCGCTGGCCAGAAGCTATCCCGATGGAGGACCAGGAAGCCGTTACGGTGGCTCGCAACTTTTACAATCATTGGATAGCGCGTTTCGGAACCCCGCTAAGAATCACGACGGATCAGGGTCGACAATTCGAGTCGCATCTGTTCAGAGAATTAAACGCTCTGACAGGTACGACTCACTTAAAAACAACTGCCTATCACCCAGAAGCAAACGGGATGGTCGAAAGGCTTCACCGACAGTTGAAGGCCGCGATAAAGTGCCACCGTACCACAAAATGGACCGAAACGCTTCCCACGGTGATGTTAGGGATCCGATCAGCCTGGAAGGACGATTTGCAGTCAACCGCGGCAGAGATGCTGTATGGCGAACCCCTACGCCTTCCCGGTGAATTCCTTACACAGGCTACTCAACAACCAAACATCACATCGGACTTCGTACAAAAATTGCGAGAACATGTGCAGCATCTACGTCCCGTACACGGAACCAGACACGGTAAAATGGTACCATTCATTTTCAAGGACCTCGCGACTTCAACCCACGTGTTCATTCGTCACGAGGGACCCAAAGGACCGCTTCAGCAACCCTATAACGGACCATACAAGGTTGTCAGTCGCGCAGAGAAAACATTCACTGTTGACATTCGCGGAAAAAACGTCAAGGTCTGTATAAATAGGCTTAAACCGGCATACATCTTTGCCGACCTGGATGACAACGACGACGAAAGGACAATCGAGATACAGCAGACTCCGGCGAATCCGGGAATACCATCCAATCCCATACCGGAACTACAACCCGTGCCGGAACAACCACCCGCGTCGGAACTGCCAGTCGCCCAGCCACGGACAACGCCCTTGCAACAGCGGACAACGCGGTCAGGACGGCGCGTACGATTTCCAGACCGCCTACAAGTCGGGTTTTCGTGACTCCATCACTGGCAGGGGGGTACTGTGGCGAAATAACTCTTTTTGTTTTTTCTGTGTGTAAATATTTTTTCTAATTTTATTTCATTTCAAATAATACTTCATTTCAAATATTATTTCACTTCAAATATTATTTCAATTCTTTCTAATTCCTTATCTTGTAAATACTTTCGTTCTCTTTCAATCTAAACTCTATTGTTCTTTCAATCACTTTTACCTGGAAATCCAACTTCAACCATACCTGCATGCACTCTCATACTAATATCAGATTTTACCCTTAATTGCTTTCTCTTGAATTCTGTACTATCTAATTCTGCGTATTCCTATAAACTAGTGTCTTCACCCTCTCTCTCACTACTTTTCCTTCTAGAACCTTCTATCAAATCTACTAACAACCCTGTCCTATAAATACTCCAAAATTTCATATCTCAAGTCACCGAGCGGCATGGCCTAGAGATCTAGACCATTGCTTAGCATTCGGGACGCCGGTTCGATTCCGGGTCCGTCTGCCTTGGTCCACGTTTTTCTGTGGTTTCCTTGGATCACTTAGTCAAATGCTGAGGCAGTAATATTCCACAGATAATCTTTCACTCTCTTCAGAGACATATTGTAGCAGAAACTGGAGTTAGAAGGGCTAGAGGTACTGTTCGCAAATAGTTAAGGATGTGGGTTGTTCTAGTTTTAGACGGAGCGGATGGCCTAGAGGTTTAGACCATTGCTTAGCAATCGGGAGGACGCCGGTTCGATTCCGCGTCCGTCTGCCTTGGTCCAAGTTTTTCTGTGGTTTCCTTGGATCACATAGGCAAATGCTGAGGTAGTAATATTCCACAGATAATCTTTCATTCTCTTCTGTCTTCATTTCGTCCGTCTCATCTTTCTCACGCGAACCACCACCCACCCATTCCCACGATTCCTGAAAGCAGGCTGAAGAGGGCCTTCCGCCCTACCTTCCGGCATAGTCTGGGGGGACTGCCCGCCCACCAGCATTACTGGCTGGTGGGAATGAAACACCCAAAAGTATTACGTCTCAAAACAGTCTCTCGTCAACCGCTACTACCACCATTCGTAAGTGCTTTTATCTACATTGTTTTCATTTTTTTTGTTATCTTTGTTATTGTTACTACTGTTGTATTATCTTGTTCTTTTTGTCACTTTGTTCTCGTTTGTATGTTTCACTCCTTGTGCCGTTTTGTTAGTTGTGTTTTCGTTTGTTATTGTTATAAATTGTTATTTGTTATTGTTTTCTTGGTATTTAAATAATATACACCAAAAGACACTAAAGAGTCATGCCTGAGCAAATACCATTCGACCAGGAAAATTATTTCAGCCACTACTTAAAATTATTCGGGCGGGCAAACACTGTTTTACCAAGCAAATGCAATTTGCCTAACTGCTTTCTTGGCAAATTGTGACGCCCATGTACACTTACACTACAGAAGGTAACAATGCAAATTTCCTAGGACTGTTGCACCCAGTCTACGAATCATAACAACGTAATCATAGATGAAAGTTGCACTCAGGGCTAAAGCAGGTAATCTTTGTAATGGATATGCATAGAATGATCATAAGATTACGGTACTCTAAGAAGGCCCTGTCAGTCCAGACATTTGGATAGTTTGCATTCAATAAGCCTATTGAGAAAGGGGTACACTTAACCTCAACAGGAATTAGCGGAAACAAAGCAAATAATTTACGTGTCAGGCAAATGGCAGTGATTCAGTGAAATGGTATGTGCCTAAACCCTAGGCGAATTTGAAATAATTGTTGAAAATAGAAGATATTTGCTTAGGCAATGCTGGTTGATTGAAATGATTATTTACCTGCGACATATGCATGGTGACCCATGAAGGTGTTAAATTTTTCTCTTTTCAGTAGAATCCTAAGGAGTAAATGTAAGCTACCACAGTCCACGTTTTTAATATTGCTGGTATTTTCCGGACTTGTTGGCTGTGGTGGTTGAGATATTACTCTTTTAAGAACACTTCAAGCAGGATCAGCAGCGAACAACCTTTGAAAATGCAGTTGCAGGCGAAACGTCAGGAGTAAAATCCCAACGACCACGACCAACAAGCCCAGAAAATACTAGTAATATTGAATCCTAGAGAACTTTTCATGGCTCTTTTAGAGAATTTGATCTGTAAAAAACGCTTTTCACTAATCACCATGATTTTAGTAAGTATTTGTCCTTTTTTGGAAAATTGAAGTAACCTAAGTTCTTAATGGAGTACATTTCATACAACCTTGTTACGAAAAAGTCTGACCAATGGATTAAAATTTGTTTCATTTTTATTACCCCTTGCATTTCTAGATAGCCGCTACAGCAAACTTTTTTGTAATTTTGCAACTTTAAGTTACCCAAAAATAAATCTTCGTGTGCCATAATTTTGAATGGGAAACTGCCTTATCGAACCAATGAATGGAATGGAAACTTATGACACATTTCTATGACCAAGATTTGATATGACGATTTTCAGACACTCAGTATATTAAACAGTGCGATTGATGAGTGAATATACATGTAAACGTCTGCACATATCGGCTCCATTCAAATCGGCTCCTCGATCTACAAAGAAAAATAAGTAATCAAAACTCTTATCATCTTTAAGATTGTTTTTCTTTCATTGCAACTCCCTTCCTCCATATACAATCCGTAAGATAAGATGTATACGTATACAACTTTGACTTGACAAAATAGGCATAGGCTTATAATTTCAGCGATTCTAAAGGAGGTTTTAATTAACGTATGTAAGTTTTGACACTCTGACAATTTAAAGGGACTACTTTTACAATATAATTAATAAAAAATAGTTTACTGGTTTATGACATTCGTGAACCAAAACAATGGTATTCAAATTGATGAACTATTTCCAGAAAAAGAAGAAAATAGAAATTCACAAACCACATAATATTTTATTTTTTTCTGGGAATGTACGTTGCTCCTGGCCAAACTTTCAGTAAAAAATATACGTGTATGCATTACGTATGGGTACGTATTTTTCTATTTATCTAGACAGTAGGCACGCTTTATTGTGTTGCATAATAAATTTAGATCAACAGATAAGTATGGGGCAGTACTGGTCACATCCGGTTTCTATTGACCGTTTTAAATTTTAAATTGTTGTCTATTTAATAAGGTATGATCCAAGTGAATAAATTCAAGAGATCGTCCATTTCAATCTTTCACGAAGACCTTTACGATCTCGTGAATGCGTTCATAGTCAGACATTAAATTCACGTGACGAGCGTAAACGAGACTCATAATGTTCTTGCCTTATTTAGCAGAGTAACAAATATTAATCCCGCGACGCTTTGCCCTTCGATTTCATTACGATATGAATTAGCCCCACTGAGCACACACAAGCAAACATAATGCAGAATTCCTGGAACATATTACCCTATTATCCTTTATATGATAACTTGAATACCCGAGGGAGCAACCCCAAGCCAGTCCTTATGCAGGATAATAGAGTTCTTGAATCTATTACAGGCGTCTACCTTATTACGCCACGCTTAAATGCTCATCCCCACACGCCGTTCTCGGCTTGGATTCCGTCTTACAACAATTTTTACGACTGTTCCAACTAAATTCCAAACATACCTGCACCTTACCCATGTAGAAAAGGACTTACGAAAGTTAAAATTGTACTTTTAAGTATAATCTAGACTACATTTGCCACAGCTTTTCTGAATTTTAACAATTCAGTGGAACATAAATTAGAGACGATTGCTTCTTGTCCTTGAGCTCACAGACTATCAGTTCAATAGCGTAAATAGTGATGAGTGAAACTGATCTTGGTCTTCCAGTTTTGACCTTGCTCTTGCGAAAATGTAAGACCAAAACCAAGTTATACTAGCAAAACAAAGACCAAGACCGAATAAGCAAGACTAAAACCAATACCAAGACTGTGACAGTTTTGGTTTTGGTTTTGCTTTGTTCATCACTTAGGGTAAAAGTGATTGGATTTTTGGAAATTCACCGAAAAGGGGAATGCCTTGAATGACCTAAGACAGAGCCGGGCAAACTTTAACTTCGCAGGAGCCGCTACATGAGGTTAGTTTGAGTCACTCCATACCCTTCAATGAGTACGAGAGAGTAAGCAGTAATGAATAATTTTGTTNTACAGGGGCAAAATATTAGTATGCTTAGATTTACAGATGATATGGCAGTATTAGCATCTAGCAAGGAGGAGTTACAGATAGCTTTAAATAAAATGGAAGTGGTATTAACAAAACATTATTGTATAAAAATAAATGAAGGTATAACAAAAATACTGGTAGGTAAGCAAGGGAAGAGAAAGAGCGAATATAAAGATAGAAGACGAAAAATTAGAAGAAGTGGCCGATTTTAGGTATCTAAGAAGTCAGATAAGTCAAGACGGAAGGAGTAGTAGGGATATAAAATAGATGATAGCGCAGGGTCGTGTCGCCTTTAATAAAAACAAGTCACTTCTATGCCCGCGAGCGGTTAATTTAGAAATTCAAAAAAGGTTGTTGAAGGTGTATGTATGGAGTTCTGCGCTGTATGGGTGCGAAACATGGACAGTGGGCGCGGTGGAAAAGAAAAGGTTAGGGCCGTTCGAAATGTGTTGTTACAGGATGAGGATACCAGGGATAGAGAAGGTTAGAAATGAAGAGGTATTAGAAAGAATAGGCGATCAGAAGATTCTATGGAAGTCAAAAAGAAATACGCGAGTAAGGTTAGTAGGACATCTTCTCAGGCATGAAGGTCTAATCAGAAACATATTAGAGGCAGAAACGGAAGTTAGAAGGGGTAGAGGTAGACCTAGATTAGAATACTGTTCGCAAATAGTTAAGGATGTGGGTTGTTCTAGTTTTAGACCGAGCGGATGGAGTAGAGGTTTAGACCATTGCTTAGCATTCGGGAGGACGCCGGTTCGATTCCGCGTCCGTCTGCCTTGGTCCAAGTTTTTCTGTGGTTTCCTTGGAACACTTAGGCAAATGATGAGGCAGTAATATTCCACAGATAATCTTTCATTCTCTTCTGTCTTCATTTCGTCCGTCTCAACTTTCTCACCCGAACCACCATCCACCCATTCCCACAATTCTTGAAAGCAGGCTGAAGAGGGTCTTCCGCCCTACCTTCCGGCATAGTTCGGAGGGACTGCCCGCCCACCAGCATTACTGGCTGGTGGGAATAAAACACCCAAAAGTTTTTTTTTTTGCTAGTTTTAGGGAAATGCGAAGATCAGCTCAAGATAGGAAAGAGTGGAGGTGCATGTCCAGCCAGTCTTGGGACTGACGACCTTATGATAATGACTTAGATCATTCTTGTGAATCAATTACTGAAACACCTTAGGGTTTTCTTCTATTTTTAACTATATGATTTTTTTACAATTTTTAAAAAAAATCAGAGGTAATGCGTGGCAAAAGGTACGTCATACAAGTTTATTGGTTTACTTTACGGTATATAAAGTTTTGTGGTAATTGGTAGAAAGAAATGTTTGAAATATATATTTTGTTATCTTCTCTTGTAACTAATCTTTGAATTTGAATCTGCGAGATTTATCAAATATTCATGGGTAAGATAAGACAAGCACGTAGGTGTCTATACATACATCTGATTAAGTTTCAGTGGAAAGAAATTCGTTCACTCTGTGTGTCATTTAAGCCAACATGTGATAAAACGAATATCTATTTAAAACGTAGCAAAACGATATCGGTGAAAATGATGTTGGAAATATGTTACGAAATTGTATATTATAGAAGGTATCGAATGCATATATGCATGTTTATGTTCGTTGAAATATTCTAATGTATTTGTGTTTTCTAGCGTAAAGGGAAAAGGGAGATGTTTGTATCACGCCTTCGATTCCAATTTACGTACCGCACATATTTCCATCGTTTATGTCAAAGTTGAAATTTCAAAACCAATATTCGCAAGGGGCGTTCTGTTTGCGGAAAAAGAGGAAATAGCAAATCTGACGACAAAGTGTTTCCAACGTCTAAGATTCAAATAGTAGGCAATCGATTCGTATAGAAAAAGGGCTGCCAACTGGGATGTAAACGGAAGATGGATGCTCCTTAATGGCTTCCTGACCAAATTGGGTTTGTTTTGCTAAAAAGGCAACGCCACTGTAATGGATAGCTGAGGCTTAACGTCCAAAACTCAACGTTCTACATGACAATTAGGAGAACTGGTATTTGTTCTGGATCACTGAAATACGGGTGGTGCAAAACAAAGACAATACTCTGGAATGTAAACCTTTTTCAATACTAACTACGTGGTTATGGTTATCTCTAACTACATTATACATAAGCTTAGTTTTAAGCTGCATCATTTTATTACCGTAACTGTAATTAACAGAATTGAAGTTGTAAAATATGGAAAATGTCACCAATCATTAGTTTGTTATTTTAACCATTGCTGAAGGAAAGTAGAAATGCATTTATTTTGGAAGTATCAGCAATTGAAGATGTTAACGAAACGTCCAGGACTAATTAGTAGACAACCAACATTGCGTACCGGGGCAAAAAATCTGATATACATTTAAGAGGCATTAAGCATCTAACTTTACGTGAAGTATTATAATAATTATCATCATCATCATAAGGTCGTCAGACTAGTTGGGCACGCAACTCCACTCTTTACTATCCTGAGCTAATCTTCGCATTCCCCTAAACCTAGAACAACCCACATCCTTAACTATTTGCGAACAGTAATCTAATCTAGGTCTACCTCTACCCCTCCTAACTCCCTGTAATATGTCTCTGACTGGATATTCATGCCTAAGAAGGTGTCCTACTAACTTATCTCGTCTATTTCTTATTGACTTCTAACCTTCTCTATCCACTGTATCCTCATCATTCGCCTGTAACACCACATTTCGAACGCTTCTAACCTTTTTTTTTCCGCAACGTCCACCGTCTATGTTTCTTTTTATTGACGGCGACTCCACCCTGCGTTATTCTCTGTTCTATATCGCTACTGCTCATTCCGTTCTGACTTATCTGACTTCCTAGATATCTAAAATCAGCCACTTTTTCTAATTTTTCGTTTCCTATCTTTATATTCGCTCATTCCCTACTTTTTCTTCCCTAGTATACCAGCATTTTTATTTTACTTTTATTTATTTTCATAGAGTATTGTTTTGTCATGAGATATAGTTCATTTTTTCTGTACTTTCTCGTTACTGTCACGAATCTTATTGACTTTTCCGATTTTAATGTTATTCGTTAAATTTATCACACTTCACGCTCAAGAACACGTAATGCTTGTTAATTATGTGAGTCGAGCCTTAAGAAGCAGCAGGTACATGTTTAATTTCCCTGCGAAGTTGGATGGAATCTCTTCGGTCATTTCTTTTACGAGGTTGAGGAACAAAAAGATCCAGTAGCGAAGCAAGGCGATCCTTAAGATTAAGAGCTAAAAGAGTTAACTGGTACAATTTTTACGGTGACCAGTGCCGCTGACATGCCTATAACTCCTGCATTTTCAATTTAGCACACACCGTTCTTGTTGAATGCGAAGATGACCGGGCAGGGCAAAAAGTGCAACTCGATAAGAAGCATCAGCGGTAGTAGGTGTTCTTCTGTCTGATCCCTCGTAATTTTTTTCCCCCGTAAAGAAGGAACGAGCTCAAAGGTTGCCTTGTTGGTTGGTTAGTTGGAACCACCGAGCACCACACAAGGACCCCGGGGGTCAGATCTGTTCGTTTCACGAACACACACAATTATATCGGTTCGTGGGTGTGTAATCGCTGATCGTAGTGGACTGGACAAGCCCCATAGCGTACGTCCTCGTCCCTCACGACTGAGCAACAAAGATAGACGTCGTCTTTCTGTACACCGCTAACGGCCATATAGCACTGAATATAATAGGGGAATTAGCATACACTTGACTGCAGCGGCTTTAGGATCAATTGTGGACATTGAATTTACTGTAAGCATGGAAAGCTATGCGATAAAATTGTTGAAATACATATTTATTTATATACGTGTAGGTACGTATAATGGTCCACAAAGTTTGGAAATAAATTTTATTCCAATGCACGGTAGTCAGCAGATCATTTAAAGAGAAGTTCCTCCTCATTCATTTTTGAAAAAAAAAGAAATACTTTGTGGAAACCATTATTAACAAAAAGTCCCGAACATTATTCCTGGTTTTTTCAAGCATGGTTTAAGTTACCCCCCAAAATCAGTCCCAATAACGTATAATTACGATATTACAATTAAAATTTTTATTTGTGATGTAATTACAAATATACAGTTTTCTATTTTTTTCTTTTACTTATGCTGTAAGACATTGCCTCTTTCATGATTCTAAGTCAACGGGAAGTACCCTATATAGGTTTTGATTCCCTTGCCAACGTCAAAATATGCAAGATAAACAACCACATCTTTTGATTACGATTGACTTAGAAGTTTGATATTTTCACCGCTCCACGGAATTACAGACTTGAGTATTTGATATTAATTTTAATGTATATCTCCACGCTTTACTCAGAAAAAGGGTCTTGACGGACAGACAGAGGTTATGATGGTATAGTGGGTAAGTTCAAAATTGGCAAAGTCCGCAATAAAACTGTCGCATTTACTTTCTTCTTTTTTTTTTCACCGAGCGGCATGACCTAGAGGTTTAGACCATCGCTTAGCATTCAGGAGGACGCCGGTTCGATCTCGGGTCCGTCTGCCTTGGTCCAAGTTTTTCTGTGGTTTCCTTGGATCACTTAGGCAAATGCTGGGGCAGTATCTTTCATTCTCTTCTCTATTCATTTCGTCCGCCTCAACTTTCTCACCCGAACCACCAACCACCCATTGCCACGATTCCTGAAAACAGGCTGAAGAGGGCCTTCCGCCCTACCTTCCGGCGTAGTCCGGAGGGACTGCCCGCCCACCAGCATTACTGGCTAGTGGGAATGAAACACCCAAAAGTTTTTTTTCTTCTTTTAACTTACTAACTAGACTAGCGGTTGCTGACAGAACTTCTAATAATATTACTCACAACAGACGTTGTAGGGAATATAGTAAATATAGAAAAGAGATGTCAGGTAGGAATTGCAGCGGACACTAATAAAGAAAAAAGAATAACATTACACCAATTAATGTGCAACAGAATGAGATGCAGACGAGAAGAATTTGAACATGCTGCCTGCATCGGACATTAAACAAAGTTCAACATTTTCAGCAATGTAGGAAAGCAAAGACGCTGTTCAAAGATATAATTCCAATCAGGCAGTTATACAGACGACCCTGATCTTTTGCGTACCCAAGAAATCTCTAAACGCTGCACCGTTTACTATCATTCGGTTATCTATTTTGTCTGTTCAAAACGCAGCAAATGACTACAGACTCAAGCAGAAACAAGAAAGAAGATACGTCCATTCTCACAAACATTTTATTGCAAACTTTGCCAATTTTAATCGTTCCAAGTATAGAAGACTGTTTGGCTTATGTGAAGTGGAATGCACCAGAAGTTAGGTGCTGTACACTAGGTCAAGCTGGGTGATCTATCAATACTTTCCTATCGATTTTATAGAATAAAGTCATCTACCAGGTGTGAACTTTTAGTATTATCGACAACTGATGGCGGTAAAAGAACGGTCTACATTTCTATAAAGTTCAGTGTTCATAGCCAAGAGCGTGAGCGAAAAGAGCCCCGCTAATCCGACGGTCTGTTGCCTTAACTGCTCATTATTTAATAATTATTTTGATAAATCAAAATAACAAATCGCGTATTTAAGCGCGGAGTGAACGATACGTCGAGTTGCGGCGATACCGGCTGACTCAACGCATCGTCAGCGGACTTGGCCGCACTGTTGTTGCCGGGAAAAAATAACCCCCCTTTAATTATGCTTTATTACTTGTTCATACGATATGAACACACATAACATGCAAGTGTACGTCCGCTTCGTTGGAAAATCACCGCTTCGTAATTCTATCGAAATTAGGATTGGATACCTGACAAATTACTTACTTGTTGCCATATTGTACCTACGTCTTTTTTATTGTTTTTTTGTAATAGATAGTAGCTGCATATCTTTTTTTTATAAATTAAGTAAATTAGTTGACATTTCTTTTTCTAAATTTTGTTACGAATAGGCATCAGAATAGAAGTACAAATACGTATATTTTTGATATTTTATCTTTTAAACGTATTACAAATTATCCTTTCTACGAATATACTAATTGCTAATATGCATGAACATTTATAACAATAAATAGGGAAAGAGCGAATATAAAGATAGGAGACGAAAAATTAGAAGAAGTGACTGATTTTAGGTATCTGGGAAGTCAAATAAGTCAGAACGGAAGTAGTAGAGATATAAAGCAGAGTATAGCGGAGGGTGGAGTCGCCTTCAATAAAAAGAAGTCACTTCTGTGCTTGCGAACGGTTAATTTAGAAATTCGGAAAAAGATTGTTAAAGGTGTATGTTTGGAGTGCGGCGCTGTACGGGTGCGAAACATGGAAATGAAAAAATTAGAAGCGAATAATGAGGATACCGTGGATAGAGAAGGTTAGAAATGAAGAGGTAGTAGAAGGAATATGAGAACAGAGAACTCTATGGAAGTCAATACGAAATAGGCGAAATAGGTTGGTAGGACACCTTCTCAGGCATGAAGGTCTGGTCGGAGAGATATTAGAGGCAGACACGGTAGTTAGAAGGGGTAGAGGAAGACCTAGCCAGTTTTAGGGAAATGCGAAATGCGAAGTTTGGCTTAGGAAAGGAATGAGTGGAAGTGCGTGTCTTAGGACTGACGATCTCCTGATGATGATGATGAACATTTAAGATTACTAATTGATCACATTTATTAGAATATGTTCGAGTTTTAATGTTTGAAACTGAAACACAAATCTAATAAACATGATAATGAAAATAGACACGTAATAAATAGAATCTGTTAGTCTTTTTGCGTTTTTTGGTTTGTTTGAAACTTGAGTTGTTTTTGTTACATCGAGCTCCTACTTGTTGTGAACCGATAAAGAGGATGATAGTTCAGTTTAATCCGCGACTGATGATTTTAAGATAATTACACCATTTTAATGTTTATGAGCTGTTATTTGTTCGAGGGATAGCTCGGAGTGAATATGAGTCGATTTGGTTGTGTTCGTGTAGTTTCCCACAAATTTCGGAGTGGTAAATAAATAGGTGGAGGCCGCGATTCCGTCAAATTAAAAATCCTTCGGCTATAACTACAAAACGAACGAAAAGTTTACTTTGTTCCCCGGCCGATTTCAGAATTTAAACACACAATAATTGCAGAACGTAATTACAGGTCTCTTATGTATGCAAGCTGTTAAGGTCGATGGCGGCTTACCGCGGCCGTGTTATTATCCGAAAAATGGTCCTTATTGTCCCTCTGCAACCACCGCTCCACCGGGGCCTCAGTTATTACCGACT